CATTGAAATTCCTTCAGATGAATAATCATATGACCCAAAACCTCTATAAATATTATAAATTTTCATAATTTTACAGCAATTTTCTTTGACAAAATAAATCCCATATGCTTATTTTTTTCCCATTTTTATATTCTCCTTAATAAATAATTTATTAATCCGAAAACTCATTACAGATTTCAACCCATTTCCCAATTTTTGTTGACTAATCCTGATCATAATATCCTCCACCACTAATAATTTAGATTTTCAGTATTATTACATCAAATCATAATTTCGTTTAGAATTCTTCCTTTACAAAATATTCCATCTACCAACTTTTTTACCATTTCTATATTCACCATGATATAAGATTTGTAAATTCTCCTCAAATTATTCGCTCAATTCAATCCAAATCCCAACTTTAATCGAATCTTCATCCATCAAATATTTATATGTTCCTCCACCCCTAAATGCGTTTTTTATATTTTCTTATTATTTACATATTTTCAAATGATCCATCTTAATTTTTCCTATATAATGTATCCCAATTTCCAGTTTTTTTTCCATTTTTAAATTCTCCAATATAAATGATGTTAGAATTTCTAAAAATAGAATGTAAACTATTACTATCCACTATTAAAAATTTCTTTTCCATGTAAATCATAATTAATACAACCACTAATTATTTTAAAAGATAGATTAAATACCATAAATTAAATATTGACTTATTTTTTTTCAGAATTTTCCATAAACCCACCTTTAGACCACATTAATATTGACCATCATAAATTACTTAGGAATTTCTTTTAAAAGAATCACTCATCTCAATCCATCTTCCATCTTTGAGAGAACTTCCTTCAGCTTGATCATTGTATAGTCCTCCTCCGCTAGATATTATTTCTTAAATCATTTACATTTTTTCTTTAATTTTATCCCCTTAATTTTACTGAAACCAAAAATCCCATTATCCATATTTTTTTCCATTTTTATATTCGCCAATATTAATTATTTACAAATTCCATTTAAATTAATCATTTAATTCTACCCATCTTCTGATCTTGATTGAAATATTGTCTTCAAATGAGTCAGCATATGATCCACCACCCCTAAAATGTGATTTTGTTTTAAAAATTACTATAATTTAAATGGCTTTTCATCATCTTTCCTAAAAAAAATTTCCCATTTACCAAACTTTCTACCATTTTAATATTCCCCTTTATAAATGACTTATGAGTCATCATTAAATTAATCACTCAATTCAATCCAATTTCCAATTTTTATTTCACTGGCTTCTAATTCTTCATAGAAACCGCCGCCACTAAATTTTCACTTTATATTTACATTAATTCAAATTTTTCTTAAAACCGATATAAAATATCCCATTTGCCAATTTTTTTCCCATATTTATATTCTCCTTTTTATATAACTTATGCATCATCATTAAATTAATCACTCAATTCAATCCAATTTCCAATTTTTATTTCACTTGCTTCTAGTTCTTCGTAAAAACCGCCACCACTAAAAATTTTCACTTTATATTTACATTAATTCAAATTACTCTTAAAACCGATATAAAATATCCCATTTGCCAATTTTTTTCCCATATTTATATTCTCCTTTTTATATAACTTATGCATCATCATTAAATTAATCACTCAATTCAATCCAATTTCCAATTTTTATTTCATTTGCTCCTAGTTCTTCATAGAAACCGCCACCACTTAAAATTGATATTTTATTTTTACATT